TGGTGACAAACAGTCTTTTCGTTCTTCCGGACGTCGACTATATTATTGTCTTAAAGAACGGAAAGATCACTGATTTTGGGACTTATGATGAACTCATGGCTCTTAAGGGAGACTTCGCTGAACTCATGGATCAGTTCACGACAAGTGTCGTTGACGATGACTCTGACAGCAACCACTCATCGGAGGGGCCGATTAGAGCCCGAGCATCGACTAGTGAACCACCGGCACAGACAACCGACTCGACTGTAGATAAATCAAAATTAGTTGAAATCGAAACCACGGGCTCAGGAAATGTTAAGTTTGCGGTAATTTGTAATTTTTGTTTATTTAACTATTTTTATCAGAATTAGTATAATATTAAATAAATTAAGTATTCAATAAACTATTTGTAAATAAAATCCTAGAAAGCTCCTTTAATCTAGCTAATTTTAGATTTTTCATTGGGTACTAACAATGATAGGAAACTCAGAAGTAAATTCACCAATGTTTACGATTAACATAAGATTAAGAATATTTATAAAATAATTTGAATTTATATTTTCGAAAATTAATACCGTATTTATTTTGAGATATTTATATAATTTATCAATTATTTGATTAGATATACAAAAAGTTCGCAAAATCAATGTCAATGTTCTGGACATTCAGTATACTTATCGGATATGCCATCACTAATGGCTGTAACAGTGGATCCAGTTTTTGGATCACGTATTGGACCGACGACCCGAATGGCACGGAAAGGAATGGCTATTATTTAGGAATATATGCTGTCATAGGCTTCTGTCAGGCCGCGTCCCTGTGGTACGGCTGGAGCTCAATAGTGTCCGGGTCTTTGTTGGCCTCTCGTACTCTACACCAGAAACTGTTGTCAAACATAATCCACGCGCCGATGCACTTCTTCGACACCACACCCATGGGTCGAGTCATCAATCGGTTCAGTAAAGACATCGACGTTTTGGACAGCATTATGCAAATGACGTTAAGGTATGCTTGGAATTACATACAGAATATTCTGCATATAATTTTTAGTATTATGTAATTTATACCAAAATTTTTATTTAATTTACAGAGTATTATGCAGTACGGTATTCCAGACCCTGGCTATACTGGCCACCATATCCATACAGACCCCTATATTTATCGCGGTGTTTGTGCCGGTTATGGTTATCTACTATTTAATACAGAAATTCTATGTCACAACCAGTC